ATTTATTTATTTGTTTATTTATTATGTATACAATATTCTGTCTCTATGCCTGCAGGCCAGAAGAGGGCACCAGACCCCATTACAGAGGGTTGTGAGCCACCATGTGGTTGCTGGGAATTGAACTCAGGACCTTTGGTAGAACAGGCAATGCTCTTAACCTCTGAGCCATCTCTCCAGCCCTTTATTTTGATATTTTAAAAGGAAATAAATAAGTTGGAAATTGCTTTGTGTATTAACTTAAATTGTATATCATGCTACTATCTCATAGCAAAGCCAGATAATACATCAATTATGTGTTCTTGGATAAGTCTTAAACCCTTGTTGGGCTAAAGACCACTTAGGAGCTTTCTAAGTATTAATCTTTGAATTATGTGTGATAAGAAGCATAACAAAATAGGTCTTTTTATTCTTGCATGCACTGTTTTGGCATTGGCAAGTCAATTTATTTATAATTTGTTGATTTGTATTTTTTTTCTTTCAAGACCTTGCTTTTACATGGAAACATCATCACTTCTCTTAGAATGGCACCTGCTTATCTACCCAGAAGCCTTTCTATATTGTCTTTGGCAGAAAATGAAATCCGAGACTTAAATGAGGTAAAATTTGACTCTGGGATCTTTCCTTCTGGGATCCAAGAAGGAAAACGTCCAGGACTCTGTGGGATCCAGGAAGGAAAAAGTCCAGGACTCTGTGGGATCCAGGAAGGAAAAAGTCCAGGATTCTGTGGGATCCAGGAAGGGGAAGTCCTAGACTCTGTGGGATCCAGGAAGGACAAGTCCTGGACTCTGTGGGGTCCAGGAAGGAAAAGTCCAGGAGAGATAGGAGAGGTTCTCAAGTTCATTTTAGATCACCTTGGGAGAATTACTGCCCTGGTGAAACATCTGGCCCTAGAGCATCAGCATCTTCCTTTTCCCTTTTTCTTAACATTGAAGGTCAGCAGCCTGAATTTCAGTTGTAATGCTGAAATTATCATCACTGGTGATTGGTAGGAGAGAGACGTCCACTTTCCACGGCTTCTATTATATTTCCCAATAAGGTTTTCTCAAGTCAGGCAAAGTCCTTTATGTCTGTAATCTCAGTACTTAGTAAATAGAAACAGGAGGGTTAAAGCTGAAGATCATTCTGGGTTAAATGAGACCCTGCCTCTAAGAAAGTAAATATGGTTTTCTTAATTAAGAAATAATGCTGATGTTTTTCCTTGTGCAGCAAGGACAAATGACCAGGTTTTTAGAATTTTGGAAGTCAGTGGCTAACAGTAGAGAATTGCTTAATGCTTAATGCTTTTTAGAACAAGAGGGAAATTGTGACATTCTCATATGCTGCCAAAATTATGTAATCAGCGGAAGCCCTGTGCTTGACACTGAACATTCATTTTGTTCAACAAAAATGTCTTTTGTTTTAGATCTCGTTCTTGGCCTCTCTCGGTGAGTTGGAGCAGTTGTCAATCATGAACAATCCTTGTGTGATGGCAACACCGTCCATTCCAGGGTTTGACTATCGGCCGTACATTGTCAACTGGTGCTTAAACCTCAGAGTACTGGATGGATACGTGATTTCTCAGAAGGAAAGGTGAACATGATCTGCTTAACATGGTCTCAATCAAGGAAAGGTCATTTCTAGTTTGCTATGGATTAATTGCTGAATTTTTCTAAAAAGTGTATAGTTACAAATTAAAAATACTCAGATAAGCTGTTTCCGTGGGTACCTCCATCATGGTCTTGACCCCTTTGCTCATACTGCTCCTTCCTCCCATTGACCGGACTTTGGGAGCTTAGCCCAGTCATTGTTCTGCTGTGGATCTCTGTATTTGCTTCCATCACTTGCTGGATGAAGGTTCTATGATGACATTTAAGATAGTCATCAAGCTGGTTGGTGGTGGTGCATGCCTTTAATCCCAGCACTTAGGAGGCAGAGACAGGTGGATCTCAGTGAGTTTGAGGCCAGCCTGCTCTACAAAGCGACTTCCAGGACAGTAAGAGCTGTTACACAGAGAAACCCCATCTTGGAAAAACCAAAAAGAAAAAAAAATAGTCATCAATCTTACTACAGGACAAGGCCGGTTCTGTCACTCTCTCCACAGTTGCTTAGGGTCTTAGCTGGGGTTATCCTTGTGGATTCTTGAGAATTTTTCTAGTGCCAGATTTCTTGCTAGCCTCAGTGGCTTTCTCAATCTAGATATCTCTTTCCTTCCTCTCCCTCTCTGTCCTTCCCCCTTCTTGACCATCCGTTCTGTTCAGTTCTCGTCCTCGCTCACCTTCCCCCCTCCCTTCTACCCTCTCTTCTCCTCTGACCCCCACACTCCCAATTTTCTCCGGAGATCTTATCTATACAGCTTACCTGAGCTAATGGGAGTTCACTGACAGTGGTGGAACCAGCATAGGCCCTCTGAATGTGGGTGACAGTCTTATGACTGGGGCAGACTGTGAGGCCACTGGCAGTGAGACCAGTCCTGCTCTTTGGAACCCATGCCCTTTGGAGGGATACCTTGCTTAGCCAAGATATAGTGGGGAGGGCCTTGGTCCTGCCTCAAAGCAATATGCTAGACTTTGTTGACTTCCCATGGGAAGCCTTACCATCTCTGATGAGTGGATGGGGGGGGTGGTGTGGGGGAAAAGGTGGAGGGAGTGGGAGAAGGGGAGGGAGTGGGAACTGGGATTGGAATTTAAAATGAGAAAAGATAGTTGTTTTTATTTTTAATTGAAAATGTGTTGAAATAGGAGCGGTGGGGCTGCATCCCCAGCAACCCGGCCGCCTGCTAGCTCATGCCTGAAATAACAACACACAAACTGTATTCATTTAAACACCGCTTGGCCCTGCTAGTTCCAGCTTCTTATTGGCTAGCTCTTACATATTGTTCTAACCCATTTCTAATAATGTGTGTAAGCACCCCAAGGTGTGCTTACCGGGAAGATTCTAACCTATGTCCATCTTGGGTCGGAGCTTCATCGTGTGTGCCTCAGAGATCAGAGCTATCGGGAGAGTGGAGCATGGCGTCTCTGCTCCAGGGAGCAGAGCTGTCGAGTCTCTCCGGGAGCAGAGCAGAGTCTGACCTCACTTCCTCTTCCGCCCAGAATTCTATTCTGTTTACTCCTCCCACCTATGCTTTAACCTATCAGGGCCAGCCAAGTAGTTTCTTTATTGCTCAATGACCTTCCTCCATCAAAAATGTTGGTGTAATCATAGTGCAGATTGTGCTGGTGATTCAGGATTATCCTTCCTTTCTTAGAAAAGGCAGAAGGTAAACATCAGGGCTGGGAGCAGGTGTTGTGGCACATTTAAGTAACCCTAGCCCTTGAGAAGTAGGGATGTCATCCGGGATACATTGTTGGTTCTAGAACAGCCTGGACTACATGAGACCTAGCCTCGGGTAAGGAATACAGCTCAGTTGGTAGAGTGCTTGCCTACCATGTTTGAAGCCCTTGCGCTGCAAGCCTGAGAACCCATATAAAAAGCCAAGTATAGCTTCTCTTACCTGTAGCCCCAGGATGGGGAAGCGGATGGCAGAAATGGGTGGTAGCCCATTGGCTAGCCAGTAAAGAGCAAGCTTCTATTTCATCGTGAGACTATTTCAAAGCCCTGGTTTTCTGATAAAACCGGCCATGGTAGTGCATGCTTGTGATTCCAGCACTGGAGAGATGAAAGTAGGAGGATCAGAAATTCAAATCATATTCAACTACAGAGCAACTATATATGAAAAAAGGGTGGAGTGGGGGGAGGGAGAGATGGCTCAGCAGATATAAACACTGACTGCTCTTCCTGGGTTCTATTCCCTACATTTACATGGTGGTTCACAACTAGCTGTAATTCTAGTTCTTGGGGATGCTCTTATGTCCTCCAAATGCATTTGGTATATAGTTATACATGCAGGCAAAAATATTCATACACATAAAATAAAAATATGAAAAAAGTGAATATTAGCCCTAGAGAATAGAGCTAGTAATTCTAAATGCCAAGCTTATAACAATCTATGTTTTAAAAGTCATTTTATTGATTGCTTAGAAATGGTAACATTCTTTCCTAGAAACCACATGAATATGATATAAGATCTTGGCTTACTCCCACAAAAGCTTGTTAGCTATCTATCATATGTGGAAAGGGGGTGTTAATAATATGTTAGAACCCAGTGTCCTTTTATGATGCACTAGGAAAATGCACATGGTGTTTCAGTTTGGAACCTGAAGCAGACATGCTAGACTGTTTTTCACCTTCTGATGCCTGTGAGTCCATCCTTAGGTCATTGATGGTCTCTGCATCTTGGAGCTGGGAACCTGTTCCACCAAGATTGCGTCTTCTAGAGACTGTTGCATGGTCCTTAGAGCCTTCAGGAAACTGGGCTGTGGAGATGGAAGGCACGATGGATTATTCTCTTTACTATGCCTCCTTTCATTTTCTGCCCTCAGAAAATATGCATGCATGGGCTCAGCACAGTTTAGCCTTCACTTCCAAAAATCCTTTTGGGAGATGGTTCTCTTTCTCCCAGCTCTTTGCTTTCTGTTCTTGTTCCTGCTTCATACCTCAGGTGTGGTGTCCCACTACCTTCTCTGGCACTTCTATTTCTACATCTTGCTGTAGAATGCTGGGATTCAGCATACCGCTGAATCTGGCTTTTTATGTAGATTTCAGGGGTTGAACTTAGGTCATTAGGTTTGAGTACCAAGTGCTTTTATCTGCTCAGTCATCTTGCTGGGCCTGTAAATGCATTTTAAAAATGAAAATATGAGCTGAGCGGTGGTGGCTTATGCCTTTAATCCCAACACTCAGGAGGTAGAGGCAGGCGGATCTCTGAGTTTGAAGCCAACTGATAATATGGAGTGAGTTCTGGGACCGCCAGAGCTACCCAGAGAAACCCAGTCTTGAAAACCCAAAAACAAAACAAAACAAACAAAAAAAACAAAAACAAAAAAAAGAAAAGAAAAAGAAAGTATGGTTTATAGGAGGCATATCTTATATTATGATTGTAAATTTCTCTCTCTTGTGAGATAGTGTCTTATGTAGCCAGGCTATTATTGAGGTCTCTCCCTTTGTAGCCAAGGTATGATCTAACCTCTTGGCCTTCACTCCCTCAGAGCTGGATTCCAGGCCTGCTTCCACGCTGGCTTCACATGGTCCTGGGATTGAATCCGGGTATTCATGCATGCTAGGCCAGTGCTCTACCAGCTTCAGCTATTAGCAAGTTCAAGGTCAGCCCCAGCTGACATTGAGACATTGTCTCCTAAAGCAACAACAAAAATAAAACCACCAGTTTGTTACAGTTGCAAGCTGCATAGGTTGGCTATGTTGACTGGGTAGTTCTCAGGCAGTTTCCTGTGTACATCTTCCTCTTTCCTGAGTCACCTAAACATTGGTGGTTGGATATGATGATGTGATCAGATTCAGTTTGGAGACTCCCTCCCTCCCTCCCTCCCTCCCTCCCTCCCTCCCTCCCTCCCTCCCTCCCTC